AATTTTTTTTGTGATAAACTGTTCAAATTATCAACACTAACATGAACTTGAAATATCAGTTATTGCATATTAGGACCTACTGTCTGAACAGAAACTTAAAGTTAGTTGGCAAAACAGAGTTTATTGTGGAGCACTAATTTATAAACTCTAACTTACTCCTATGTAGATGAAGTTAATAGACATAATATAAATACAACCATCTCTAACTTTGCTTTAATTATTTAGACTATTCTTGGTTTAAATTTCATGCCTGTACCATGTCTACTGTATAAGAAACTACCATTGTTGTGTGAGATTTTTAATAGATTTATTATAGTTCAGCTGACATTCTTTAATTCTGGCATACCTGAATCTGGAATAAACAAGCACTGCTGTGCTCCTTTTGCCAATTTTTTTCCATGTGCTTTTCAATTTTTACATCGTTTCCATACATTTCCCTCTCTTAGTGGTTTAGAGAGACTAGAATATATTTGATAATGAAACTTATGTATTCATTCAGACAAATTCATGTCTATATGAGATGGCTTGATTTAATCAGAAACATTTTAGAATCTTTTCTATTTCCCAAAGTATAATTTTCAATCATCTCCAAAAAATGAAATCAAAATATCAGGAATGACTACATATTCTGATCCTTGTGCCTTAGAATTCTTGTATCCTATGTGATACTATGTGAAAAATGGAAAATATAGCTAATTATGTTTATTTCTGTGAACTAAGAATTTTTTTTTACCCATTTAATTTACATATGTTCTTTAGACAGTGTTAATAGGCAAACATGAATATAGAGACAGCTATTCAGATAATCAAAGCTATAATAGCTACTTTTCAAAAACCATGGTTACAGTTAGCCTTTAAAATGCTTAATTATAAGACTATATTGATCAGTGATCTTTAAAGGTTATTGGTTCTAATAAGTGGCCAGAAGGTTTTGAAATCATCTGGCAACTGTGTCCAAAATGTTATAAAAAGTATTTAAATCAGAAAGAAATAAATCTGAATTTGATAATGAAAGAAATATCTGCCCTATATAATTTTTGATAATCTTTGTGAAAGTTATTATCACTCATCCAGTGCTGAAAGTTAGATTTGGGTAGTCACTATATTAAACCTATTTATTATGTTAAGGATCATGACCTGCATATTTTTTATATCCAAGACTTTCATATCACTTAGATTTTGAGACCACAAATACTGCTCTCCTATCAAACCATGTGATGAAACTAACAAAATAAAACTCCTTGAAAAGATATGATTGGTATTGTGAATTTATTATACTAACTGCATTATATCTTGCAAGGTCAAAATAATTTCAGAAAAAGACCTACTGGTTCACCTCGAGGCCCAGGTGGTCCTAGGACTGTACTATCTTCTCCTGGGTAGCCCTAAAATGAAAGTAGTGATTTATAAACAAAACTAAATTAATAAATTAACCTTCAAAAATACACAGCCTATTACTTTTTAATACATT